GGAGTTGTTTTCTCTCGTCACGTTAACGTGCTCTTGTGGTTGTTATTATCTCTATAGTATAGTTGCAACCACCTTATTGCACGCCTTCCACACACCGAGAGATTTCATCTCAGAGGGCCATGTTGATGATGTTGCTGGGAAATTCTTAGCTTGTGTAAGAACTCTGTGCGGAGTCGTTCCGGTTCGGAAGGCTTTAACTTTTGACTTTTTGGCGCTGTGAGCTTGTGATAATTACCATTTTAGCATTCTACATGGTTTCAACTATTTTGTACAGATTTCCTTGTAGATAGCAAATCTGATGTCGTTTAGGACGATTTCGAGAGTTGTTATCTTTCATTTGCATTTAAACCTTGTATTTAATCAGACGTTGGTCCTTGAGCTGAATCTGTTCGGCAAGCAAGTGGAGGCGCTGCGTCACATAAAGCCTTCTTACCTAAGACGTCCTGCTCTGTGGGGCCAATTAACCATGGTACATCATGGCGAGCTGCAGAAATGTGCTTGCAACCTCTCTGTGTTATCAGGAGAGCAGATATAATACGGGAGTCTTGACCCAACAAGTTTTAGAATAAAGTGTACCAATGACCTGAAGCCGTCTTTGCAGTAAGTGAGGCAGACCGCTTGCCTGGCGGATACAGGGCGTGAGGGTGATGAGTAGAGTGCTGTTACAATTGTGTCAAATCTCAGTGCGCTGTGAGTAGGCGGCGATGTAACTTGTTCGAGGCGCAGATGGGGTCGCGCGGGATACGCTCAGATCCCAGGGCCGGGGAGCCAGGTGAAAGGGTCGGAGTGTAAGCCGGTTTCCTGGCCGTCAAGCGGGAAAGGACGAAGGACTTGTTTCTAAAAGAAGAACCTAGTTACCCTCAGCTTTTTAGCAGTGAGGTGTGGACCTGAAGTGAAAGAGTAAGACAATCATCAAGCCAGTTCCTGGTATTGTATAACAGGTAACCTTCAGGTCGTGTCTTGCATAGTACAAGTATTACACGGCTCTGGGTCTTTTTAGCTTTTGAAAATGGATTAGCGTGTGTTTATCACATTAAAAGAAGCTTAAGCTCAGCGAGGCTGAGCTGCAGTAATGTTAAAAACACGGCCTGTAAGTTAACCCAGCCTCCTGAATCGAGGGAGCCTGCAACAGTCTACGGTATCGTGCCGCAGGATCAAATGTAAAGTAGCTTCTTCAATTTTCACCCAATGTTTGAGTATATTTATGACCTAGAAAGCAGACCTGGAGGAAGCCAGTGAGGGGTGAGCGGAGCTGAGGAGACGAGGGGCGAGCGAGAGAGACCATGTGGGTGTGTTGAGAGGTGCGCCAGCGACCGTCCAGGTGGATGGGCGAGCGTGAGGAGGGCCTGCGGTGGAGATGGCGGATGGCGTGGGTGAAAGACGCGGAAAGGCGAGGATAGGGCGGCAGCACGGCTGTGAGTATGCGTGAAGAGGGAGGATCGGCGCGCCAGCTGTGCTTGTGGCGAGTCGAGTGGTGCGGGTGAGGGTTGCTTCTGAGCCGACTGGAGGGGCAGGGTACATAAAGAGCTGTGGGTAGGGTGCAGCTGGGTCCTAGCGTCGAGGAGCGCTGCGGAGAGGCGGCCGATTTGAAGGATGGCGGGATAGGGGTGTGAGGGTGTGCCCTGCCCGCGGAGGTAAGCAGATAAGGGCGGGCTTGGATGTGGAGGGTGGATTGTGGCTGTGGAGGAGGAGGTAAAAGGGGGTAGGTGAGAGATGTGTAAGGTACGAATTCTTCTATCTTTAACAAGGAGAGGGGTTTTACGGGGGGCGCAGCGGTTCTTGGGATCTAGCTTGTTAAGGCTTCGGCGAAGAACACAGGCAGTAGGAAGAGGACTGAAAGGTGCGCGAGCCGCAGCGAGGCCCAGAGCCACGTCGGGGTGGGGGGTTCAAGGAAGCATGTTAGGAAACAGAGTAACAGGGGGCGAGCGGGACGAGAATGCTTTTAAGCAAATTTAACAATGGTTGGCCCTGTCCGTATAGGCCGGACGCTGTGGTAAGGCGGACGGCGGGAGGTCATGCGAAGGCTCAGCCGGGAGTGATCGGATTGTAGTTGCGAATTGTCCTAGGTCATTATTTTAGTTTTCTGTGGTAACTGCAAATAGTACTTTCGACCTTAGACTTTTGACATGTGAAGTGAGCTTTTCTTCGGTGCCTAAA